TTTTTTGTTTCCCTTTCCTCTGAACTTTCTCATACGCCCCTCTCAAAAAAAGCTCACTTCAAATGAGTGCGCCCACCCACCAAACACAAAAACACCAACACGTTGCGTCCCATATTCAAGGAAATAAGGCAAAAGGCTAGACTTCACCTAATTTTCCGTCTTACCGTTTTTCTGTAGTATGCTAGTTACTACTTCAAGAGATGAAATTGCAGTTACACCGTCCGTTTGCATGCTGTCCAAACCCGCCAAGGACTTCTTCTGAGAAGCAGCGCACACCTGAAGTATAAAAGTATATTGTAGTCAATTATGTACTGCTTGAATAAGAGGGTAAAAATCCTCTTGTCATACCAAGCAAAATCTGCAGCTTGTACTGGCCTTCTCCACTCACACATACACACACACTTTCCCACACACTAAGCTTAAGACACTACGGAATAACTTGCGTCTATTAAAACCAAAATTGTCGTCTAACACATGGCCTTATATCCATGTATACCTTAAGGATATTGAAAAGTGTTGATCTTCCAAGGGGTGTGAAGCCGGATTCTGTACAATAGGCTTGATACAGCTGGATGAGACGGGACGAAATGACTGTTCTCACCACGTTAGGTATGTCAATTTTCTCTCCGCTTGACAGCTTTAGAGTTTTCGTTCCATATGTAACGTCTTGAAGAAATGAAGGACTGGATATAAAATCTACGAAATGGTCGACTTTAGTGGGATCCAGCCTTGTTCTGGTAATGGTTGGCGGCTCTATAGGCTCTCCAGGCTTGGTCTGAAAAGTATGTTTTCTGGCCTCATCAATCCTAAACTTTGTCAGTCCTGGCACAAGCTGCAGCAGTTCTGTCTTACTGTAATCACCAGCAAAGAGGGAGAGAATCTGTTGCTGGGTGTTCCAGGATCTAGCTTCATTATACAGCGTTACTAGTCTAGAGACCAGGCTGTCGTCCTCGGCAGCACCAGATACAGTACGCCCGCTTTGGTTCCTTGCAATCACCTGTTGAAGCAGCCATGATGAATTACCCGGTGCAATAGCCTCCAACACGGAATCAACAACTTGCTCTGCCTTTTTCCAATAATAGCGCCGCGTCGATGACGACATAGTCACAACATCAGACCTGCATTGCGACCTGACTGGACTGATTCGGCCATCAGTTGACTTTAGGAGATAACTGTTGAGGTGCTGCAATTGATGCTCAACTTGGGGTGTTGGTTGCCACTCTCTAGACGTCTCTTCCTCTACCAACGAGCCTTGGGAGGACGATGAGAAGATATCTGAATTCGGATCGCTTTGCTATAATAAAAGGAGCAGTTTTTTTTAGCGAGGTAGGAACCTATGCATCGAATGTGCGCCTAAATAATTATAAATACATGTCATTCGGTGTCAGAGTTGCTTCTGCCTCTTCCATAGGCTTTACAAGGCTAAGTGCAGTTATGCGGAGCGCGGACGTTAACTGCAGGCTCCTAGGAGACGAGCATGAAGTACGGATTTGGGGGGTGACGAGAACGAGCACAGGGTAGGGAACGGGAAATAATGTTACCCCTTTCGTCGCCCACCATTGCCGTAATAATTTACTACAATATCCACAAAATATGCAACCGCGAGTGAGTGGAACGACGCGGTTATAATTACTCTTTTACATGAACCACGCAGTCGAATTAGGTAAAAAATTAAGTAGAACAAAATATGATAACCTCATTATTAAATATATTATGGGCTCTTTTTTGGAGTTTTAAAATTTATTAATTCAAACATATTTAAGAGGCACATCAATCCTACCTCACTCAAAATCTCATCTTGAAATCGCACTCGCAAACGTGGTAACACAAATTCCTCTTCTTCTGGCTCAGTTGACTCTGTTGCAACGTGCTCTGTTGATGGCGCTGGAGTGTGACCCACAAACTCCTCCTCTTGCGTAGCAGAAATTTGGGATCCCTCAGTTAAGGTAGCCAACACAGAGGGTGGCTCACACTCTTTCATAAATTCAGAGTGGGCACCTCTACAGTATCTGCATATGCCTAGTAAGTAGGAATTTTTTTACATATAAAGTCTTCATTTTATAGTATACTCAGTGGGTTTTTAGAATTAAAAAAAAGTTGGACATGTGCCCTATTAATAAATTACCAACCCCTTTCCCCTCGCTACCCCCGTTATCCCGGCTACTTAATTTAGGAAAAATTAATTAAATTCGTGCGCGAGTTACTAGAATGATTATCACACCTATGCGCCCTGGTACTGATGAGTAAGCTATTGGCGCCTGCGATGACACGAATTTCATTTTCACACACTTTTAAAAGTCTTATAGCAGAATTTTCAAAATGGATAGTAAATTAACAGCATATAGGTAAAAAAAAACAGCTGAAGTAACAATCTTAGCTTGGTAGGTTGCTTAGCACCTTCGAAGTTGTCTCGGTCTAGCTCGTCCCCAGTCGACTTCGCAAGACACATCATACCCATCAAACCATGCGCGCCTATGCTAGTAGGGAGAGGTTCAATGAGAGACGACTAGGGACGGGTCTGACTAACCCACGTTGCCCAAAGCCTCGTGGGAAGGCCTTCCTTGCCTATCATCCCCTTCCACGCGTGATCTATGCGTTTCGGGTCACACGGTCCAATTGAGTATGTTTGTCTCTCCGCCTTTCATATCAGTTGCCGTGCGCATAGGAAGTAAGAAAGTCAGTAACAACACCCTATGCAAAATAAAATCTTTTTAATTACCTGCACCGACTGGAACTACAGTGTTCCACTTTCCCTTGATTTCTTTTGCCGTCTTCAGATTGACTCCTCTGTCACCTTTGCCCTTTCGATTGCCGTGAAGAGGATGCTGGCATTTTTTTGGTGGTCGGAATCTTACTCCAAGGACAGCGCGATGTTTGGGGCAGATCGTGAAATCGAGGCCGTCATCATCCCCGAACAAACCAACGCGAGCTAAAATGAGCTTTTTCTCGGATACAACGCACGATTGAGATACATTTACATCTCTAAGATGTTCCTTTATGCCATCGGCACACGAATTTAGTGGTATAAGTTGTTGCCGTCCGGGCCATCGCGAAGAGAAATCGCATTCCGTTCCACAGAAGATCGCAAATGAACAGGAAAGCTGACACATATTGCGACTTTACAGCACAAACGCGTGGTTGAAAAGAACGCCCCTTGGACGATTAGTCAAATAAATTGCATGGTCTGAAATTTGACAGGCACGTGCCGTTACAATTTTACTGATTGCGCAATCTGGCAAGGTCATGATTCTGTCTGGTCTCGTCTGGAATTTGAGGCACAAATGTACCATGGCCGGTACAGTCCTGTACAATAAAGTTTAATTTTGCAAAAGAATAGAATTTCTTTAAATGAATTTAAGTAATTTACATGTTAGTTTTGTATAGAGTCACAGAATCATACCGATTAAAAAATAGTACTTTGGTTATTCACTATTAAAACAAGATAATTCTGTTATCCTTCAAAAGCAACAACTTGTTTTGCAGGTGAAAATGTGTGGACTTCGCCATCAAAAGATAGTAAATTCGTAAACGATTTAAGGCAATTTAATTTTTTTTGGTATGTTTTGTTTTTTAAAATTCATTCTTTCTTCCACTCTAGACAACCGAAAATTGTTTAGATTCCGGGGTAGGCGCGGGAAATTCGCTGAACAAAACATTGTAGGCTCTTTTTTTGGTCACATAATACTTGGGCGTAATATTGATTGAGAGTGATCGAGTGACAGAGTTTCGAACAACTTGTATTTGCCGAAAAATGCCCATAGGAAGAGACAAATATAGTGATAGAGATAAATAGGCCAATCGGAAAGCCTTGCTTGAAGGCAAAGAAGTTGATTTTGAACAAATATTGTCCGGTCACGCAGCATACATCGACGGCGGTAAGTGAAACTAACACGATACTTCTTTCTAATACTTTTTTTTTTCCGAGGTCGTAGCCAGAAGTTAAACGAATTTTTTAAGACCTTAATTTCTTTATCGCTAGAAGGAAGAATTTCTCATCATTTAATGTTGTTTTTAGATGTGCGAGTTGACATTGCTTTATGACTGGCGTGTACTGGCATGACTCAAAGTTTGTCAACAACCACGCGCCATGTGGCCTTGAAATCTCCCCTAGGAAATTAAAAACAGCCTGGTTTTCCCACAGTAAAGACAATAGACAATAAATACTTGAATAAGACGACTTATTATTAGTTTAACTCCTAAGAAGAATAATCTCTGATTTTGCGAGAACCTCTAAACGAGCTCACAAAGATTACGATTTTGCCTTCGATATTTTGGTGGCATGCATTACTAATCAGTGTCAAATCTTTAATTTTCTCGCCAAATCTCGATCGTTTTAAGTATGTACTAAACTCCTCCATTACAATTCTTGTACAACGGGCTAGAAAGTGTCGGTTTATTAAATTAACAGCCATTAACTGTTGAACTGTAGGAAAGGTGAAGTGGAAATAAGTCTGTTTCAGGTGTAGTTTTCAATTGGTATCTGACGGCAAAAAAAGGCAGCGCCCAGAAATTTTTTTGGTGTTTATTATAGACCAAAGGGTTGTTAAGCAGGGAATAACAAAATTATTGTCATAGCTTTCTGGCAAGGAGAGATATTAGATCTCAAAATCAGCAAATAATTGAATGGCTAAAAAGGTGGTCCCATATTCAAGGCCGGTGATTGACAAGCTGTCAATCAAATTGACTGAAACCTATATTCTTGCATTTATTAAAGACGTATCAACATAGACACAAACCCTCATAGTCAAAGGTTAAAAACATTTGTCCTGAGAGCTTCCTACTTTTACCTGTTATTAATGCCCTTTTATTGGTAAAAAATCAAATTAAACTAGTTGGGTGGGCTATCTCCCACCATAAAGATCCAAACTACAAACCAGTTTGTCATTTTGAGTTTTGGGGTAGACCCTTTAAACTGGCCAAGTTTCAGCGAAATCGGAGAGATGGCATGTAGCACGTCTGCCTGGTGCACCCATGGACTCACTCTTAAGATTTCTAAAATCTTATGTGCATGCTTCAAATTCCATATTTCTACAAAAAAAATATACATCATCAATGCTAAAAATCTTCTCTGCATTGTCCATAACTTGGGAAATCTGAAGTTCAGTAAATCCCAAAAGAAACTGGGGATTTGTAAGGGTTTTCAGTTGACCACTTTCAGACTTGTTTATCAATTCATAAACCAGTACCTTGTGATAAGCATGAAGCTTTTCATAAAGGATGTCCCTTTGTTGTGTTGTGCTTTGTCTTTTCCTTGTTGGGGTATCCTCTTTTCCTTCATTACTGATCCCAGGAAAGGTTGTCAGTTTTCCACAGTCTAATGAACTACACTTGCACTCAGCTGCACAGTTATCACAACACAAGTGCATTGGTTGTGGAAAACTCGATGGCCCATCAAATTTCTCAAGGAGCATTTTTCTTCAGTCTGGAATCTTTTGTTTTGACATAACATTTCATGTCCTTGTCCACATGATTCAGGAACAGTCCTTTGTAAATAATATATGCAACACTTTGTTTACCGTCTCAGCGTTATCAGGATTAGCCAGTCTCGGTGTGGATAAAATATTCGGGAAAGGTCAACGAGGAGGTTTTCTTATTCCACAGGATAAAATAGCACAATTGATTGCGTACAAACATTTACTATCCACAGGCCAGAAAAAACAGATTTCAGAGGCTTTACAGTCTGGTGGGCAACTAGTTATCAAACCAACACAAAAACAAATTAACGGGGGGTTTCTTGGAGCCCTTGCCGCCATTGGTATACCAATCGCCATTGAATTAGCCTCAAAACTCCTTGGTAAAGGACTGCAGGCTGACAGAACCGGTTCCGCTAATACAACATCTGTTTATGTTCCCGATACAACTAATGGCCACGGAATGCATCATCCATATCCCTACATGTCACCACCTTTTTTTGGAACATGGGAAAATCCAGTTGGTATGAGATTAAGGGACTGCTGCTCGGAAAAAACAGCCCATTCAATTCAATCCCAATTCTAGGAACAATACTGTAAGATTCATAAACAAACCATTATCGAATATTGATTTGTTACAATGGGTCAAACAATTAGGAATAAAATATTTTAGGGGTATCTACAGCCGTGATAATTTACCAGACAAAATACACAGATTGGAAACAGGAATAATTAATCTTGATGATTCAATGGGCGGGGGCAGTCATTGGATTTGTCATAAAAACGTGGATAAACAATATTGTGAATATTTTGACCCGTTTGGATTAATCATGCCCAATGAAATCAAAAATTATCTGAAAACAAGCGGTAAAAAAATGGTGCACTCATCAGATGAAATACAAGAAAGAGACAGTGTTTTATGCGGTTATTGGTGCTTATATTATCTTCTAGAGAGACAAAAGGGTAGATCATTATTAGACATTATACATAACCCCAAATTCAGTTTTACAAATCAAATGATAAATCTCCAGTTTCTGATAAACTATTTTATGTAATCCATATATATAAGATGACTGAAAAGTTCTGTGTTTATTGTAGAAAGTTACTCCACATTATATGAATCAATATGGATGTTTCGAGTACTGCAACTGTGAGCCATTGAGTGAGAGTGATTATGAGTCAGATAGCAGCCATGAAACTTATGTTCTAGATAGTGATTAGACAATAATTATATAACATAAATATATAATAATGGTGAAATCTTCTTGTGTTAAACAGAAAAAGCAAACAGAATGTGTAGAACCTTCGGGTTATAAAACTGCCAAAAATGGTAGACTTATGTTTTGGTGCACTTGTGCTTAATGTGGAATAAAAAAGTTTAAGTTTGTCAAGAAGGGAAACTAGGTCAGCCTGTCCTAGGGGCAGGCGTAATAGACACAGTAGCTGGTACTGCTCTTGATGCGTTTGTACATCACGGGCTTCCTTGGATGGGTAAAAAAGCAGTTGAGATGGGGAGATATTACGGGTCAGAAGCGCTCAGAAACCCTAAATTACAGAAAAAAGCTATAGATTATGCTTTGGACAAATTAAATCCAATGAACCAGAATGTCGGTTCTCAAGCTCTTAACCAATTATCAACCAAAATACGACCAAACAAAAACTACAAAACAAACAGAAAAGATCTTGATGGAGGTGCTTTGGATATTCACAAGCAGATTGGTAAATTACCAAAACCAGCAGGTGGATGGACTTTACCAGGACATCGGTATACAGGCCCTTACAACGATCTCGAAAATCAAGTCAGATACAATCCAGAAACTGGTGAAATATCAGAAATTTATGATCAACCAACTGGGCCAACCGATGCAGTGGCCATGCAGCATGATATTGATTATAGGGTTTGTGGTGATAACCGAAAGTGCCAAAATAAAGCTGACCGTAAAATGGTAAAATCATTAGACGCCATTCCCTATAATGAACGACAATGGGGACACTGGTTGGCTAGAAATCTAATAAACACAAAACAGAAACTTGGTCTTGGTTTAAACTAGAAAAGCCGTCGGGTAGCAGTTGGCAACAACAATTAGCGGACGAATTGCATAAACCCATAAAGCGCAACTTTACTCGGCAGCGTGTTATTACAACCGGTATCGACAAAATTTGGTGCTCAGATCTGGTTGAGATGCAACAGTTCATCAAATGGAACAAAGGTTATAGATATCTTCTCATGGTACTAGATCTATTATCTAAATATGGCTGGATTGTACCATTAAAGGATAAGAAAGGGGAAACTGTCACAGAAGCATTCAAAACTATATTCAAAGAGGGCCGTAAACCACAATTTCTTTGGACTGATAAGGGGAAAGAATATTACAACAAAAATATGAAAGAACTGTTGGAAAAGAATAATATAACACTATATTCAACCGAGAATGAGGAAAAATCTAGTGTATGTGAAAGATGGAACTGTAAAATTAAAACCAAAATGTGGAAGCAGTTTACTGTCCAGGGTAATACCGTATATTTAGACATACTACCAAAAATACTGAAGCAATATAACAACACTAAACACAGTTCCATTAAAATGACACCTGTAGAAGCTAGTAAGAAGAAGAAGGAAAATGCCGTATATTACAATCTATATGGTGATACGAAGCAATTGTCATCTAAGCCCAAATTCAAAGTTGGTGATAAAGTTAGGATAAGTAAGTACAAGAGAAAGGTGTTCGATAAAGGGTACACACCTAACTGGACAGAGCAGATATTCCTGATCGATAAAATCCAATCCACAAACCCGATCACATACAGATTGAAAGATCTCAATAATGAGGAAATACAAGGCAGCTTTTATGAGCCAGAATTACTACCAGCAAAACAGGATGTATTTCGCATTGACAAGGTCATTCGGAGGGATTATAAGAAGAAACAAGCTCTTGTAAAATGGTTGGGTTATAGTGATGACTTTAATAGTTGGATTCCACTAAGCAACCTGCAAGAATTATCTAACTAATAGTATATATGGACGATCATATAAGAAAGCTTGACACTGAAATCCAGAGTAAGGAAACCGAGCTTAATGCACTATTCACTAATATCCACTAAAACGCCACCTCAGGTCTAATGTGGTGACAACGGCACCTCAGGCCTAGCAAACTTTTTAATCTATCATACTTATCATATTTTTGGTCTGGTATGATAATATTTATGTAACCTATATATATGATAAGTATGATCGAAAAAAAAGTTTATTAATGAAGATTTAGAAATTGAGCTGACATCATTTATTGATGATAAGCAAAATGTTTGGTTCCGAGGAAAAGATGTTGCTGAGATCCTTGGTTATAGTAAAATAAGAGATGCATCATTGAAGCATGTTGATAGTGAGGATAAACAACAAATATTTACTCCTCACGCCAGCGTCCACAAAACGTGGACGATGGGTCCGAGTGGCAGTTTGTGTACTTATATTAATGAATCCGGGTTCTACTCTCTCATTTTATCCTCAAAATTGGAAACAGCAAAAAAGTTCAAACATTGGGTAACGTCGCAAGTCCTCCCATCAATCCGTAAATATGGTCAATACAAACTGTTTGATAGTCCCTGGAATAAGATGATTATGATTGGCAATGAGACTGACCTCCATTACAAAGTAGTGAACCTCATAAGGAGATATTATCCAGATTCCATATTAGTAGCAGGACTGGCGGAGAATCAGGATACTGAGGATAAGACTAGACTCAAGAAAGGATATATGAAAGGACAGCCTGATCTAATGGTACTCGATTATCACAAAGATTATAAGGGCCTCTGTATTGAATTCAAATCACCGACCAATAATTATCATATAAGTAAAGCACAATATGAGTTAATGGCAAAATACAGTAATAATAGCTATAAATTTATCCTAAGTAACGACTATGATGAAATCTGTATAGAAGTACATGATTATATGAAAGGCATTAGATTGCCGTGTAATTATTGCATCAAACATTTCCATAATAAAGACACCCTTACTACCCATTACAGAGTCATCCACAGGATTATCTAACTAATTAGTATCTGAATGCTGACCAATTATTAGACAACTATAACGAACTCCAAAAGATAGAATTACGAAAAATTCTGAATACATATACGCTCAAAGAGCTCAAGAAAGAAATCATCAAAATGAAAGCTGATAAGTTTGCTGTTACAAAAATGAAAAGACGACAGATTATTGAATTAATTCTACAGTACCATTATCTTTTTCCTCATTTATTGACAAAACAAGGTTCCAAAGGTACCAAACGAAAACCCAATAGTACTAAAGGTAATAAACAAAAACCCAAATTACCGCAACTAACACACATGCCTAATTATTCAACAAATTCTATGGCGCCATCTAACACAAAATTACCACCATTAGCACACAAACATCTTGAAAATTTGTATAAACTAACCGCTAATAATTCTAATTAATTAACCCAACTAACTGACTTAATCAACCGGTTATCTAACTGACTGACTATCTGACTATCTAATTTAGTCGCTACTTTCTTTCACCCATTGTAGCATTAATTTGATCACCTCAACTGGTATTTTCCGGCGCTCCTGTAATTTGTGTTTGAATCCAGTTATTATTTTGTTAAATTCTTTACATTTTTCTGATTCGTTTATTAATTTTTTCCGCATTATTATCATATAAATATCCAGTTTTTTGATAAATTCTTGTTTTTTCATTCGTCTCCTATTAAGAAGCAATTCATTTGCATAATTATTTAGCTCTTTAAATTTATACTCTGGATCGGACTTATCTGGTTCAATCCGGTTTAATTGATCTTGTCTTTCTCGTTCCTCAAAATATACATCTTTTTGGCGCTCTATTTCTTCCTCTTTATCTAAAATTTCATAAATATCAGATTCTGGTTCCTCAACCAGTTCAACCGGTTTCAACCGCTTCAATCTCACAATTAATTCATCATTTTCGTCATTCATATCGCTCCATTTTTTATCATTTTCGACTTCATTTTGGCGATCTTGCTTGATTTTTTCGATTCGGCTAATTAATTTATCATATTCCTCGCCATTGTACTGCTCTCTTACTTCCTCCTTAAATAATGGCTTAACAGGCGAGCTATGTGGCTCAGTAGACAAACTACTATGTGACTCGATATATTTACTATATTTTTTGATTGTTTTGGCGGTATTTTTAAAGTGGTTGTATAGATTTTCCTCATCTATTCCGCCTTTTTGAATTTGTTTACATAGCTGATAATTAGATTCTACCAGAATATTACAAAGATGAAAAACTGCGTCAATTGCACTCATACTCATTACTATATTATATCGCCTTTTCTTTAAGTACCTTTCGTTTTGTCCAATTAATTAGCAAAAAATAACCAGTATGAACCGCCCAAAACCGGTATCAAAAATGCTGACATCAGCAAGAATTCTAATTTCAGGGGGTATGTGAATTTTGGTGATTCCAGCCATCGTAGTTGAGTTTACCTTCACTTGTGAGATGTGCAGACTCTGTACAACCCTGTAATAACACTGAATTTTGTCAAAAAATAAGCAGATGAGTCAAATACCCTATTACTTTAATATAAATATCAATAATTTTTTTACTAACACAACAATTCAGGACAGGAAAAAAACTTGGTCCGGTTGCCTGGGGCAAGTAAATTAGCCTCAGTGGCCCTGCAAGTCTGTCTGAAAGTGACTGCAGACTGCAGTTTGAGTGACAAAAAAGGAAAGCATGGGGAAGTGCTTGTTTGCTTGCTCATGTTATTCTTCCAGTAACCATATTCATCAAATCTAGTAGTTACTCTACTCTGTATCTAGCACAGCATTTAAGTACGAAATATATATATAGACAGTGACTTAAAACGACAGATAATAAGACATTGTGATGATGGATTTCAATTGTTTTTTCCTGTCCTGAAAATCATATAATTTAAATGTTACAATTACTTTGAAAATCACAATAACATTAACAATCACCAGAGGATGAACCAATTAAGGAACACATGGTCCACAAAGATTCTGTTTATCTGATTAAAACAATCCTGCTTCATGGTGCTTTTTGAGTCGTCGGAGGGTAGAAAACGTGCGCCCTGGATGCTACAACTGGTGTTCAGTAAAATCTTGACATTTCCATATGACCAATTTTGGGTTGAGAAACATGGCTGCGGTGGTGGTAGTAAAGGGGGGTGGGGGCAAGCCCCCCCCCTCCCCCTGCTATTTACATTAAAGGCAATTCCCTTTCAAGCAAACAGCTATGACTGTGACTGAGTTTGTCTGCATGGTAAGCATATTTTGCATAGTATTGCCACAATTTGTAATAGCAATGACTATAATATTTTACAGTGAAACCTCTATTAAGCGGACACCGTGTCGTAAGCGGACACCGTGTCATAAGCGGACACTAAGCCGGGTCCCGAAATGGAGGTCTGATATTTCCCTTTATAACAAACCCCTATTCAGCGGACACCCCTATTAAGCGGACGCGGACACTAAAATAAGTTGTATTTGGCTAATTTCTGTTGTTAAAAACCTCTATTAAGCAGACACCGGACTGAATTGACAATAGTAGTGTTGGATTACGTCGTTGAAATACGTACTGAAGTCAGTTAATGTTTTTGCATGTACAAAAAAATTAAGGTTGGTAATGAAAGGTAATGAACTTGAACTCTTGATAGCTTCTTTAACAACATGCAACTTTTCCACAGTACAGTGTAACCGTTAAATGTTGATCGTTAACAAACATTGTGCAATTTTTAAAACCTCTATTAAACGGACACCTATTAAGCAGACACTTGGGAAGGTCCCGAAGGTGCCCACTTAATACAGGTTTCACTGTAATTGATACAATAATAACATAATAGTAATGATTATAATTATCACAATTTACATTGTTAGACAAAGAAATATTTTTAAACTTTCACTATTCTGAACATCACTCATGTTCTTAAACTACTGTTGTAAATGGTAACATTAACATGTATGACATTTAGTTTGCACAGAACTTGATCGGGGGAAAAAATCCCAATTTCCATCAGGTACTGTACAGAACCTCTGTTAACCGACACCTCCTTTAAGCTTACATGCACCTCTTACTAACAGACACTAATCTTGGTTCACAGCAATTAATTTCTATGTTAAAATCATTAATCCAAACTATTGTAATAATATTAAAGACATCTTTTCTTGGTAACAAACATCCATATAGATCGGTCAAATCAGACCTAAAATTCTTTGCAGAATAGTTGCCCACATGATAGATCATAGCAATAGCAAATACTCCTCTCTCTATGGCAGTGGCGGATCTAGGAGAGGTGCCCAGGGGGGCCGGCCCCCCTTATTTTTAGACCAAAACGAGGCCCGAAGGGCCCCAAAAAAATCTTTTTGGAGACCGCCCCCCCTTATCTCAGGGTCTGAATGACTGGCCCCCCCTTATCTGAAGGCCTGGATCCACCACTGTATGGGGCACTTCGGTTAAACAGATGCCTTTCACAAGCAGCATAATTCCCCAGTAATTTGGTCAACACTTTGATACTAAATAAGAAAACAAATTAACATATAGAGGGAGAAAAGAGGATCGAGAGTGCACCAAAAATTGACCCACTGGTCAAATCACACAG